TGACTATGACCTAATCACCCTTAACTTAGGGTAGGCTCCGAGCCCCTCGGTGTTGACGTATAGTGAGCTGATGATGATGAATTTCCATAAAAACTAAAATAGTCGTAAATACAAAAAAGTTCTCTATATGGATTTCTGGAAAAGGTGGAAAAAAATCTTTATTTCTACCACTTATGATTTCTGCTCAGAGCAATGCCAAAAATAACTTTTGTAGCGTTCGTTATTGTGGTTATTCATTCGATCTTTTAAAGCTAAATGGAATTAGTGGCGACCTCTAGCGGCTTAAGAATTTACTACGCTCAAGTTCATTGGCTGCGAGCCAGTTTTGTTGCAGACTTTAATTTAATTTTCAACGAATTGAATGCAAACTATTTTCTATTGTTAAAGGACTATGTGACTTTTTTTTATTATATTTATTTTAATTCACGATTCACACGGAAGAATATATGTGGGATTTTAAACAAAAACAATTATGAAGTTACAATTAATACAGCAGCGGCGTCCCACATTTTATGAGCAGTTGAAAATGGTCTAAAACACAAACTGACAAGACTTTAGAGAGTTACATATATTACTGTTATATATAATTTTATCTCTATGTACTTACATAGTACACAAAAACAACATATTGTCCGAAAATAGTATAGTCCTTATCTTTACTAATATTATAAATGTGAAAGAAAAAATGACTGAACCGATTTAAATGAAAAGTACACAGTGTAGGAGGGATGAAAAGGTTAGCCTAAAAAATTCAAATGTCACCCAAGACAGTACTTCACGCGGACAAAGTCACAGGCGCGGCTTGTATAGTATATAGGTGTGACATTTTATCATTTTATTTCTCTAGTGACAACGGGGAAGTTTTGAGAGCAATAAGCGAGGAAAGTTTCAGACTCGTCGTATCTAACTTGTTATATCATCGACTTGGTGCCACTTTGTTGTGTAATGTTCCACTTTCGTCTTATGTAATAGTACTTATTATATTTATCAAAAATACACTAATTGCATTTACAAAAAATATTTAAAAATACGTAATAAGGATAAGGGTGATGTTTTTCAATGGTGAATATGTTTTTCGTTTACTGATTTTTTTAATTAAGGCCCTATAGCCAAGACACTAGGGTAAGTCATTTGGAATTTAAACATACAGAAGAGATACGAACTAAATATGTCGTGATGATTTTATTTGTAAGTAGGAGGTTAATTCAATAGACCGTATGGGAACAAATTTTCTTCATCACAAAACGGAATTTTATTAAAAGTCCCAGCTGCGACAAGTTCGACGTCCCGGCCGGCGTTGCGCGGCGTGTTACTTTCCTACTCAGCGAATTTTGACATCGCCGAAATACGAACTTAAAGTTGTAGATTGAAAGTTAACGGCGAAGTTAACTTAGTTAATTACTGCTTTAATGTAGCACTTCTGTTTGTGTAACTGATATGACTTTAATGTATAAATACACAAAAGTAAAAGAAAGATTTGAGACGCCGTAGAGCTGGACCTGCGGGTGCTACAAGCGATGGACTGGCAAGAGAATGCCAGGCGACTTTTGGCGATATTAAAAGATCGAGGACAAGATCCACTTTGAGTCACTGCGCCAGCGGAGTAAGTAAATGTAAGAAGGATTTATTTTTCTTTTTTGTAAAATATACACAAACCTTTAAAACGTTTATTAAAATATTTTTTTTTCTAAATATGTAGAACCTCTGGTGTAGCAAATGTCTAAGGGAGGAGAATACTCTTTAGTTCCCGCTGCTTATTTCATAAAAAAATAAATAGATTTTAAAACATTGTCTGAATTAATGAAAACCTCAAACAACGCCGAACCGATGAATATTGCGATGGATATTGGAAAGCCGTCATTTCGACATAGTCAGCATTCACTGACGAGTCGAGCTCAAACAAGGATTCATTCAAAATACGAAGTGGCATTTTGAATGGGTTTTAATAAAATTTTGTCTATAACTGCATCATAACTGGACTAAAAAATACTATTTTTTTTGTTAAATCATGCTCTTAAATTGTTTTATTATATACCACGCGACTCCATCCGCGCGAAATTAAAAAAAAACTTCACTTGTAACCTAAATGTTCTTCTAGAGAATGTTCTACATCCATTCCAAATTAAGCTATCGTGTAAAAACTATTCGTTGAGTCGTTCTGAAGATACCTACAAACAAACATCCATCCATCTTAACATTCGCATTTATAATATTAGTAAGATAAGATAGTAAGATATTAAAAATATATGGAATTAGTAAGATTAAAATGAATACAAGAAGAGTACATTTAGTATTGCATTATAGATATGTTCTAATTGCGATACTTCGCAATTAGAACATATAATATACTTATGTACGAAGTAGTATAACACTAGCACTATTTTCAATTTGTTTAAAAGGAAAAAAAGCGACGAGAAATGCACACAAACGGTGAAGCTATCATGGCAGTCATTGGTAATCTATCAGATGGGCAAACTAGTCATCGTGTAAGGCTTATTTCACACGGCGGTAAAACAGTGATACAGTGGAATAGTGCAGAGCTAGATCCGCACAAACTGTCAACACAGTACAGTAGGCCCAGTAGGAATATTTGTGACAATCGAATTCATATCGTCGAGATTTTTGATGTAATTCACGGTCGATAGGGGGCGCTGCGCAAATTTTTGTACTTAACGATACGATAACGTCCCAAATATTCGTGCTAGGCCCACTGCTCTGTGTTGTCGTCTATATTCAAACTGTAGGAGTACTCTATTGTCATACTGAACTACTTTCTGTTCTACCCTCGTGTGAAAGGGCCAGCAATTGTTAATCCCCGCAGCTTATGTACAAAGGATCCATTAAGTAATTGAATACATTCAGTGATGATATCACAACTGTAAAGAAATTAGTTTTTATTTTTTGAAGTCAATTTATGTGTAACCGCAATTTTATTTATTTCCGCAATTACTTTTATTCGACGGAGGAGGAGACGCAGAGAAAGGATATGTCCCTTTTCATTTACGTTCTCTCTTTCATCAAATCTATTACAACTTCCCAACCTTTCCTTAGAAGAAAGATTACTAAAATTATGCCTACGGAAGGTACGTTCATCAGACTTATCCAAAAACGGCTTTAGTTACGTTTACATATGTTTAATAATGCATATTTATTTTATTATAACAAAAATATGACAAAATTGACATGAAAATAATGGATTTTTTCCCAACCTAATAATATCGTTTTCATTTTCTTCTAGACACCTTAATTGAATACAAGAACGTGTGAGTTGACTGAAAATATATCGTATTCATCTTAGTACGTGATCCGCCTATAAACAAACACTGAGTAATTTACTGCAAATGTTTAGATAGAAAAACTCTCTTCTACTCGATATTGGATGAGAAACAAAGTAAGACTCCAAGATAACTTTTGTCTTTTTTTGTTGTCTACAATTTTTTGTATATTTCTACCTTTCTTATAGTTTCTATCTCATTTATTTTATCTTAAAAAAAAGAAATTACATTTTTGTATAGCTGTTTAGTAATCCGCCATTAAACAGGCTTCTATTTTAAGTTGATATTTCCATAAAATTATGTTGGAATAATTATGGCATAATTATCCTTAACTTAGGGTAGGCTCCGAGCCCCTCGGTGGGGACGTATAGTGAGCTGATGATGATGATGATACTGGAATATTTATCAAAAGATTTTACGCAAAATATTTTACAATGGTTACAATATATAGATAAAAATTACTTACAATACACTGAAATTCAGTGAATTTAATTATTTTTAATTAGAACAGCGAAGGTTGTTACTTTCAAGTTTCAAAGTTATAACATAAAAATTGTTGACTACGCAGAATTCTTAATACCTTCCTACGTGCCTCATCGCCTCAGGGTTGACTTTGTATCGCAATATCCAGCTCTGTTTGAATGGCACCGCCACAGCTTTGCCTCCGGCACACGTCTGCGTAGAGTACTTACGTACTCATAAATGTTAAACAGTACTACGTCCATTATTTTACAACACGGAATATATGCAATCATATGTATAAAAATATGATTCATTTTGCACCGTTCATAGTCACCTTAAGTACTTTGGAAAACTATAGGTAAGAAAACGTAAACACCTTGATATAGATACCCGTAGCATTACCGTATACTGTGACGTAGATACTCGTAGCACATGTAAAAACTTGGGTTACAATGGCGTAGTCACTCTTAACTCTACAGCAAAAATATCATAAAGGCTTGCAATACGTAACTCAACTTTTAAAATTGTAGCCTTTTGTAGCACTACTATCTTTAGTAGACCTGTTCAGGAAGCTACGGTTAGATGTAGACTCGCGTAGCATTTCCACAAACTTTAGTTATAAGGGCGTAGACGCTCGTAGCACATTTCGATAATATGATTAAAACGATGTAGACACGCGTAGCAGTTGTAAGAACTTTTCGATGGTGTAAACATTTGTAGAACTTAACAATAGTAACATTTCGTTTTTCAAAACATTTTTAGCAACAACAAAACTCAATTATCAATTTTGTAGATCTTCGTAGCATTAATATTTGATGCGTTACATTAACTTTTGGTAGGATGTACTGCAACTACTTATGTGTAAAATTAAATACGTGTTGCAGGAAATCATGTTTGCGGTCATAGGTGATTCCAGGCAGGCGGTGCGAAATCAATAATTCAAAGCTTCGTAAACATTACAACGTATTTTCATAACCAAATTATATTAATTTTTTTTTGAAACAAAATTTCTATTTACATTTTAAAATATTCTGAAACAGCTATCTTATCATTTTTTTATATGTAATTGAGTTACTATAAACATTAATCTCAATAAAAATCTGAGCGAAATTTTTTATTGAACTTAGATTTGAACTTGTAAAGTTTTTATAACTTTTTATTAGATGAACGTTTCATCAAATCTAACTGTCCATTTTGAGAACAAATCATGGTTAAACAAACATTAATTTTATTTGTCTATATGAGATATTTAAAAAAAAGAATTGGAGGTGCCGAGTATCGATCCCGGTACTTCTCGTATGCTAAACGAGCGCTCTACCATTTGAGCTACACCCCCTGTGCTTAAAGCTCTCAATATCGCAACTAGTCCCGCAGGATATTGATTTTTTTCAGGGATACTCTGGTCCCGAAACATTGTCATCACGTTAACAAATGTGACAGTATGTAGAGTCAACTTTTACATGGACAGTATTCATAATAGAATATTATCAACTATTATTCCATTAAAATAATAAAACTGCATTTGGTTTTTTTGCAATCTTAATATTAAGTACCCTTGATTCTTTTCTTCCTATTACTTATAAAGCGAAATGAATAATGCATTACTTGATAAAAAATTTTCTTAATTTTTATAACATTTAATAATTATCAAAAATTAATTTATAAAAGAGTTAATTTATTTTTATGTAGTTTTATGCGTCTTACAATGGAAGGTGAATTGTCCTCGTAGTACAGCGTTGAGGTACATAGATGGCGGTAACAAACAAGTTAGCGAATAATCAATATGTCTACGCAGGACTCGCGACGTTACAAAGGAACTATGAAAATTCTTAACCACAACTTTTTTTATGTTATCTTAAGTAGACACAACTTTTTTAAACTTCGTAATTAACATAAACTTTAATGAGAAAAGTTGAATTAAGCTTCACTTTAGAAAATGTTTTTGAACTTTCAACATCGCCCAATTTTTTTTTAGGTCAGCAAACTCAACAGGCAGTGCTTAATTATACTGTTGGACATGGAAAAATCAATTTTAATATCGCGTCTATTTGTTATTATGCGTTATCCAGCATATATATGCCTATTTACGTTTAGCAACTAGCCGCATGCGACTTTCTGCAAATAGTCAGTCGGTTTATTTCCACGATTGCGACTACAACTGCTACACATAATGATAACCACAAGTTTCCGGACTCGTGTGGCTAGTCGCTTATTTAAAATATGCACTTAACCAAGACGTGTGTAAAGACACAAAGCACCAAAAGGAAATGTTCATGAATAAAAAAATGAGAATGTGTACAAAACTTATTAATGTTTATTTCACATAGTATTTAAGTTCCATTAAAAAAATGTTAAATTGAGATTTTAGTAATTCAAGCATCATAAAAAGCACCAATGCGAGCCGTTATTCACGCGTACAATATGCTTCTGGAAACACGTAATATTTTACAGGGACGCAATAAATAACACGAATTTCAACGAGAGAAAAAAAATATTGCCTCTTTTCTGTAGTACGTTAACGAGGCAGATTTACGTCTGTAAAAGTAGGAAGTTTTAAGTTTCTCGTTTTACATAATAATCATTTAAAACATTACTTAAACGCTATTAAACAATATCATCATGTAAACAAAGTTATATGTTATTTTGGGTGACATAATTATCCTAAACTAGCTATCGCCAGCGACTCCGTCCGCGACAAAGGAAAAAACCTTAATCAGGAACCCATGTGTTTTCCCGACTATGCTCTACATCTATTACAAATTTCATCGAGATCCATCTATCCGTTCTGGAGATATCTTCTAACAAACATCCATCCATCAAAACATTCGATTTCGATTTATAATATAAGTAATTTGAAAACATTTCAAATAATATAGTATGTCATATTAAAAAGTTCAAAAATGACAATCATGATGTAAAATTCCATTATCCCAAATATCCTTCCCAGTATACAAAACCCTCATCAAAACCTTAAAAACAATAGAAAAAAGCTTGAAATTCAATTCGTTAGTAACATTGAGTAATATTTCGCGCATCGCTCGGCAGAATTGTAACAAGACCTTCATCAAGCGCAACAAAGGGTTTAATTAAATCTGGAAGGCTGTTCGGCTGCGCGTGCTGACTAAAATACGTTGAGCTTTTTTGTGAATTTCTGTCCTCGATTCCTCTGTATTCAAATGAAAAATAAAACAATTGACATAATCCTAATTTGTACAGCGATATTCGTTCTTATTAAGGTGAGTATAGGCTAGGGGTTAAACAAACTACTGACAACAACGTTCGATTAGTCACGTGATTGTCGCGTGTCAGTTCCGTACAATTTCTTTGAGTTGCTTTGAAGTGCACTTTCCTAAACCCCTAGAGCATTTACTTGCAACTAGCCGCTCTAGTGTCTAGCTCTATGTTCTAGTGTCACCTTTTCACTAACCACACATGCTTTGGAAACTATGTTGTTACTAAACCATTCGTAAGAACGTTACATTACATAGAATTGCTTGAGATAATGCTCTAGTGTATATTCACCTTTATGTTTACAGAAATAAAAACATGGGAATGAAAATGTAATAGGAAACAATGCTTTTATTATCGTAAACAAATTAAAATAATAAAGTTACACAAAATAAAGCAAATCATCTAAATCATAGTAATAATTTCTTCTAACAGATCGACAGCTGTAAACTTTTTAACTTTATGTAATATTTTACAAAATTTCGGATCAGCAACTAACTTACATACGTAAATATCTTTATTATCTGTGTCCCTTTCTAATATCTGCAACACTTCTTCAACTTGTTGAACATAAACGGAATCTGTTGTATCTGGTAATATTTCAAAATGCCATGGAAGACAAATTTTCAAAACATTCCAAATCACTGATTGGCTAACTTCTAAGCAAATATTAGGATCTCTATATGGAATTGGCGGCTCTTCTACCGGAGGCTTAACAACAACAGGTTCTTTTTCCGGTTCTTTTGGTTTCTCAACCGGTCTTTCGCATGGCGGACAGATCATTGCAGCTTGCGATACAACAATGGAAGGTAACATTTTATATTGAGATCCACGTTTTTGAGAATTATCCGATCGTCCGCTTTGATTGCCATCAGTTTTCCTAATTCTAGTGGTTTTTCTCCTTTTACCTTTCTTTTCTTCGGGTACCGACTCCGTATACATTACCTCTTCAACAGTAGTACCTTCACATATACTTACGACTCTCTGAATTAGTTTATTAATAAATTGTTCAGTGCACTTTAAGGCACAAGCTAAACATTCGTCTCTGTATTTCTTATCATTTATCAGGTAATTCACAATATCACCACAATCATCAAGAGAATGACATATTTCTTGTCCAACGGCCATTGATAATGCAGCAATAAAACCTTTTATTGGATCTACATTTTTACAAAAAGCTAACAAAAATGCAGAGTAATTCATCATGTCTTCTTCAGTTTCATATAATTCGAATAAGAAATGTTTAATCAAATTCAATTTTAATAGATCCTGTTTATCTTCAGTTATAAAATCTTTATCAAACCATAATTCTTCTTTTATAAAATTATCTCTCGATATCAACTCTGTAGAATCTAAATCGTTGCATCGAAACTTTTTTCGGACTTCCAATAATTCATTTATCGTAGGAAAACTAAGCTGAAGACAGTAAATTAGAAATTCCCTCCAATCTACGTAAGCAGTTTCACCGAATAAAGAAAAAACCAACTTTTGGACTTGTTCGGGATCAATATTTTTCCACACATCAGGAAATAGAGGACCTTCTTTACTTTCTTTGCCAAAAATAATAAAATCTTGCAACAAATAAATAAAAGCTTTATGGATAATAATACCTATGGGAGCAACCAGTTTAAATTGTGATCGCAAACGCGCCAACTGATTCGTTTTAAAATTAGAATATCGTTTAATTTCAGATTTACTCTGTGGAACTATCGTTTCCACTGATGGAGCAAATTGAATAACATTGTTGTCAATTATTAAATTGTCATACTCAAGTAGTAATGATTCTGGTATTTTCCTTCCTTTTTCTATGGCCATATGAAAGTACTTACACAATCTATCTACAGCCAATACCTCATTTGCGTAATATGTATCAATAACGTTTTGTATTTCGATGAAAGCTTTCAATACTTGATCACTAAAAAGCTTCATATCCGCGTAACATTTATATTGCAAAGCTAATATGCGTAAATTGAAACGTAACATTTCTCCATTAACACCAACAGGCCATTCTTCTAAGCATTTTAAAGCATTTTCTTTTAAAATTTCCTCGTGGTTACAAGACTCATTGGATCCATTTCCTTCCTTTTTCTTCGTAGGTGTTATTTTAGCTTTTTCACTATATTCCTTACTTATATGTGATCGGAAAGATTCGCCTAAATCTTTTACAATTTTCATAGCAAATTTTACGTTGTTTTCAATTATAAAATTAAATGGATTATTATCGAAATCAAATTCAACGCTCTTTATGAATAATTCTTGAAATACAGCTTTTAAATGTTTGTACAATTTTTCATCTCCACCTTTCTTACTGGAATGAGAGCTTTCCGTTTCTCGATATATCTTTGTTAAATCTTTAGAAGAAAGTCTCTCAGGAGGCGGCGCTCCTCTAAGCATCGTATAATAAAAATCGCTCAATATTTGAAACGTCATAACCGATCTGTAAAATACAAAATTAATAATAGCAGTCGATAAATAGAATTAACTAAATGTAAAGGCATAACGCAAGTAATTATATAACACGGCAAAAATAAAGAAGACAAAAAAATCTAAACATAGATACATAACTGTAGACGTACTCTTAGTCGTAGCCATTGACGTAGCCGTAGAAGTGCCGTTTATTAAACCTTGTGTGCCGAAAAATTATTTGTCAAGAAAAAAGTATATTTTCATACACTTTTTAAATGATTTTATGGTATTAAAATTTAAATCAGAAATATTAGCGAAAAGCCATTAAGATTATATACGAAAAATTAATTTGAACGCAAGATAAAAACGCAAAATATTATACCAACTTTACCGACATACCTGTTTAATTCCATTTGCATTAAAGAAATGTATGTATTAGCTATAATGGTTAGTTCTTCAATGGTCCAATTATCACATATTAAAGCAAGTTTCTTTTCTTGGGCGAAAACTTTTCTCTGATCACATATATTGTATAATTTATTCTGCAACTCTTTTACTCTACAATGCCATTCATTTCTAGCAACGCTCAACGGCCTCCAGTCGTTTTCAAATTCATTGTATTTATTCTGGAAATCCGTCACTAAATTTTGCTTTTCCGATGGCAGTGTTATAATTTGAATCATTTTGTCTTTCAAAAATCGTGTGTACGGTATCACATAGTTCATTTGTAGTCTTGTGGTGAAAAACAATTGTTGTATACCATCGACATATGATTTTTCAAATTCCTCCCAATAAGTCGCAAAAGCTACACCCAACGTTTCTGGTATTGGTAAAACTCCATACACCCAATCCTCTTCTCCCGGTAACACTTTAATTTTATCAACGCTATGCAAAGATTTACTCTTATTTTCTTGTGCAATCATACTTTCTAATGTCTTAATACGATTTTGTTCTACATCTCCAAAAGAAAGTGGTGCTTTAATTATCTCTAATTCTGTTTCTATGGTAGTTCGACTAATTTTGGAGTTTTTTCGTACTTTTTCTTTCGATTTAGTAGTTGCGATATCAGATTTAACCATTTTTGAATTAATACGCTTTATTTCAGAATTAGGAAATTCAATCTGGTTCACAATATTCTCGTCAAATAGCTCTTCAAATGATTTTATTGGGATGCTAAAGTCACCAATAACAAATTTACAAATTTGAGCGATCAAATCTCTATCTATTACTTCATAAAATAAACTGTAATTAATTCCCATGACTGCGTAGAATCTGTCTATAATATCTGAATTTTCCTGAGTAAGTTCCCAAATTACCAATTCGTCTGAAATATCAATAGTCTGTTTCAGATTGATGTAAGCTGTAAAATAAGTTTCAAATGGTTCGTCAGTCCGTTTCCTATGTGGGTCTTTGACTATTTTAGAAACCCTTACTTCTTTGTAAACATCTATTTCTTTTAATCTATGTTTCAATATGCTTTCTTCTAAAAGTTCGTCATCATTGTCATCCAGTTCTTCAAAATCAGGTGGCCCGAAACCAACAAAAGCTTCTTCAAGTATTTGAACTTGAAGATACGTATTGGGATAGTTAATAATAACGAATCCAACAATATCTTCTTGATGTTTTAGATACTCGACAATCATTGCAGCTATTAAGTAATCAGTTAAAGGCTCTCCAGCTGTTAAGGCATCGTATGCATATTGCCCAAGGCTTGCTGCAGGTGACATTGTAATATCATCTTCTGGAAGAGATTTTGGTGTTTGTGTATATTTCGTATTCGGTAATGGTGAAAGAAGAGGACCTGAAGTATCAATATCACGACTTTTAGCGAGTACCTCATCTTCAGATTTCATAGATTTAATCAGCTCTTTAGTTTCCTCTTCTTGTGTTGCGGCTAAAAAACTGTCATATGCTAATTGGATTTCAGTTCGTCCAATCATATCAATTTGATATTCTCTTAAACAATAATTAATAACAGATTCAAGACGCACAACGCGTATCTTCTGCGAATTTAATAGAGTTTCTAAAATGCTGCTCAAAGACTTGTCTGGTAAACTACGCAAGAGAACTTTCGATGTGTAATCTGGTAAGTCAGCTGGCAGCCTTTTCGATGGGTACGGATACTTTACTTCTAATAATGTGTAAACAGCATGACCTAATATCTTAAGTCCTAAGGTCTCCACTGTTCTCTCCTCCGATTCTGGGTCGTAATTTGGTATTAAAACATCTAAATTCCACGGGTATAAGTAATCAAGATATTCTTGAAATTCGCAATCATTCAACACCTGTTGTCTGTCACGTTCTACATACACAATTTCTTCACAAGTAAAAGACGAGGATTCTTCGGCATCTCTTAATTTTAATATATCTTCAGTAGGAGTGAGTACTTCAAAAATAGGTTGTTGCTTAAAAAATAAACATTTCCATTCGTGAATGAAATGCTGAGGTACGTCATCTTCCATCAACTTTTTAAAATATCCGAATTTGACCGCATAATCAATCAGAGCTAAAAGAGTTTCATAACATATGTCGTAATAAATTTGTCTTTTTCGCTTCATTTTTTCGGCAAACAATCTTTTGTGCAACTGATTCTGTCTCTTTTGTTCAAAATCGATTTCTACAACACCTGAATCTATTTTGTCTTTGAGATTATCGAAAAATATGTTTAATTGTTGCTCTCTTTGTTCGGTATACTCAATTTCACCTTGTATTCTATTCTTAACTAAATTCCGCGCTTGTTGCTTCGTTTCCATTATTTGTGTGCACATTTGCTTCTCAAATTGTGACAACTTCATCACCTTTTTGGCTAATTCCATGTCCCCTTTACTTTCTTCTTCAGCAACGCATGCATTCCATAAGGAATTACTTAAAGCGCTTGCAATTTGTCTTTGGAATTCTTCAGAATCGGATCTTTTTCGAATTCTTTGAAACAAATTGTTCATATATTCATTTGTCCACTCAGAATCAACGAGCGACTTCTTACGCTGCATAGCTTTTTCTTCAAGTGCAATTAATTCCTCATAAGTATAATTTTGATATTTACAAGGATGTTGCCGCTCAAATTTATCTATATCTTCATTCTTCTTTGGAGTTTGTTGAGAACCCTTCTTCAAAATCGGTTTTTGAAATTTAGAGTCTTCTATTTTACCAATTATTTTTGAATATTTGTGATGAAGATAATCAAAAGATTCTTTAATCTCTTTGGCTTTTCGTTTTTGCCATTCTATAAATTGTCTTTCGTCTAATAAAGGTTTTGATAGATAATCAACAAATGGTTCGCTTTCTTCAGTTACTTTTTTAACAGTAAATCTATTTTCTAATTTTTCTACCAAACTGGACACCATTTTTCTTTCTCTTTTAATAAAATTAATACGGTCTCGCTTATCTAAATGAAGAAAAAGCTGGTAAAATAAGCGAAGCAATGATGAGCCTTTTCCCATCATAATATTATTTAGATCTTCATCGGTTAGATTTACTTCGACTTCTTTTAACCATTCTCTCAAGTGTTTCCAGTTATTTTTTATATCAGCTTCTTCATTACTAGCTCTAATTATATAATGTTTCTCGTCGTTTATAACGTGGTAAGATCTCAAGACCGTTGCGATGACATGACCATTCTTCATCATATTTCCAAATTCTTCTGCTTCCCATGTAACTGGTCTTTCCAACGTTTGTGAAAGCCAATCTTTTAATATTTCAGCCATTTTAGTAAAATAGTGAATATTCTAAGAATAAAATATAACTATATGTCAAAAAAATATTCAATCCGCAGCAAAGAGCATATAAATAATAGAAAATATATGATCTCAATAACTGTCACGTCATTTTTTAACATAAAAAAGAAAAAGATGCGGAAATGTATGTTTTAAAAGTTATTGTTTTTTTATTAAAAACGTAAAAAGGAATTTCATGTGGTAACTTTATTCGTATAACATATGTCACTGTCAGTACGCATGTACTTATTATGACTTTTTTGTGATGTTTATTTTCACACGGTCCTTGCAGTTTTGTTAAAATTCGCTTGATTCTATTCATCATGAAATGTAATGAATTTGAAAAGACTGTATGTAAAAGCATAACTTCTGAATAATGTTGTGTCTTTGTTACTATTTTGTCATATTGAAGGATTTAATTGCGTTGTTTACAGGTTCCTCGCCATCATATGAATCTGTCTAACTTGGATAAAGCGCTGCACGATCTGGGAATGTTGAGTGCCATAACCGAAGCGCGTCGGGAGTACTTAAGAGAATCTAGATCTAATTTCAGCGTAATGCGCCTCAATACTCGGTATGTATCTAATGTAACAGTGGGCTATTGCATGAAAAGAACCGCAAACAAAAACAGACTTTGCCCATATGTTATACCCGTCAGACATAGAACTAAGAGTGAAAATTCTGATGCAATCAGCGATGTGAGCGACAGCGCGTGTGAATATAAGAGCAGTTTTCTCGACCCATCGACAAGTAGCCATAATTCCTTTGACCCAAAGAGTCCAGCCAAGCGATGTCAGTCTCTGGAGAACCTAAACTTGTCTCTGGAACCTCAAGCAAACACAGAAATATCTCCAGAAATGGATTGTGTGTCAACAAGGATTCAGAAGTTACAGGTTGATGAGTGACAAAAAAATCTATAAAACATCTGCAAACCAGTGAAATGACACTGTTGATATGTGTCCGTCAGTATTGTTGAGTGTAAACACAGAAATGGACATAGTAGAGAAAATATGTTGTATATGTTCCTAGATTCATGAAACAATTAGTAAATGTCTTTCTATATTTGTGTGGGAACTTGAAATCTCAATTGATTTTAGATTATTGTATGTCATTGCTCAAAATTGTCTTCAATTTGGTATTCAATATGTAACCAGTATGTTGTCTCTGTGTGTGTAAACAAAGCATGTTGTTAGTTATTTGTAGTTGTCATCAAATGTAAAGTTACCTCGAATAAGTACCACCTTTGTGATCATACAGAACAAATTTATTATTTCCCTAAGTTGCAGCTAAGCATTTGCTGAATTGATGTATTAAAAATATTAGAGTTATTATTTATATTTGATTAAAAATGTACCACCATCATATAATTTATTGTTGATTATGTTAAAAACACTTAATTGTGTTTTAGATCTCATTTCATTGTGAAATTTAAAGAGAATATGATTGCAATTTTTGTCACTATATTTTTTGCTTTTGTGACTTAGAAATAGTTACTTATCTTTGTTAACATATTTTGTTATTTTTCTTTGTTTAATAAAAATATTTAAAATATAGACAATGCTTTGAAAATTATTAATGTCATTTCATTCATTAATTCACATATCTAGTAGAAGTAGAAATAGATTTTCATGTTATTTTAATTTGTAAAATATGTACTTTTTACCAATACTGTTGAACCTGGGATAACCCAAAGTCAAAGAGACTGCAATATTCTTCTCACTTATGGCCATTTCTAACTCTAATAACTGAGTAACCCTAACCTGAGTCATTTATGGTGGTTGAGTTTTGAGACTGGCAAATAACTCTTACTTCTAGAGGTTTCACACTTAACCGGGTCCAAAAGGATGTTATATATTATCCATTCCAATAAGGTTGGATTATGTTCAAAAAAGAAAAAAATAAGTTTTACCCAAATAGTTCTGTGTAATGAACTTGATTACCACTTGGTTATGCTTAGGCAACTGGTATGGTTGAAACAATAATGACATACATACATACAAACATAACATCTCTTATATCTCAATAACTCTGGACTCAAAATCCATAAAAATTAACATTCAAAATCTTTTATTGAAAAAACAGATTAGACACATTCATTGCCACTAAGATTTTTACCTGTTGAAGTGAACTCTCAACTAGCAACGCAAGTCAAGGACAAACAATGTATTAAATCTTCATTTTAAAACGTGAAATAATAAACTTAATTCCAAAAACACCTAATCCATATGAGTATTTTACACAGATAACCTAAAATTGTATTTTTTTCTATGAAAATAAACAAAACATAAATTTTTAAATTATTTATTCGCCGTTCTTGGAGTATATTTAACACTTATTTATAATTAACAAAAGGGGAAACACTGCACATGATTTTCATTACGCGAACGACGTTCATATTGTAGGTTCATATTATAGGTTCACATGGCAGGTCACAGAGCTTTCACTTTGAGTTGCTTCATCTTTGGTGCTTTGCGTTTGAGTTGACGCTTCTGTTCCTTTAGCTCCCAGCGGCGTTGCTTCTCGGGGTCGTCCTCCTGGTATCATTTTTTCTTTCATTAGAAATTTAAAAAAAAAAGGAAAAATAGTTTTTGAATGTGTATGCAATATTTTGAGCCTTACTTTAAAAAAAATAGACAACACTTTATATATAATTTAGCTTAAACGTACGTCAACCTTTTTGTACTGTGATTTTTGACAAATGATGACTTGAAAACAATATACATAGGCTTCCAAAATGATTTTTTGACAAAAAAAATAATAAAATACTTGTACTGAAAATAATAATAAATATTTATGGCGAAACATAATAACCATTTTGTCCAATCGATCACCGGTTTTCAAAGGGTTAAAACACGTGTTCAACTAAACAGATTCTAACTATATTTTTTGATGTATAGAATTTACGTTTTGATAATATTTTTACTGGTCCGTGTATGGTTGTATATAAAGCTGCAATGTAACTAACGGCGAGTATTCGTTCCTTCTCCTGCTTGCGCTTCTCCTCGCGCCTCTGCGCGGCCTGCTCCTGTCGCGCTGCGTGTGCGCCGCGCAGCCACGCCTCCGCCACCTTCTGACGTCGCTTCTCGCACTTCGCTAGAGCCTACACATACAGTATATACTATACACACTCCTTAATTTAAAAAAAAACATAACTATATCAAGTAAATAATGTCTATAAAACATAATTTATTGTTAAAAGAGGTTTTTACATCACAGTGTTTTGCAATTTTCCTTTTATTTTATAAAAACCTAACCGCCATAACCGCGCTATTTACTAAGCCTGCGTTTGACAAAAGCAAAAATTTTATCAACAATCTGTATGTCAAAAATGTTTTGAACTGACGATAACTTTCGATAGCATGCTTGTCCCCATTCTTTTACATTTTGATAAATTCTACTTAAAACTAATCAAAAGTTACATTAAGGGCACTGCGTGTTACGTCGGTGGCCTTGTACCGTCATAATATTTGAAATGAACTATACATGCCTAGTCACATATTAATCTAGCTTCTATCCTTACCTCCTTGCTAAGTCTGAGCCGCTTCAGTTTGTCGAGTAGGTAGAAGACGAGCTGCAGGAGAGGGCGCACTTCCTCTCCGCCGCCGCCAGGACCTAGAGCAAAGCTCGCCAGCAATACGCGCTCCGTCTCCGGGGGCTTCGTCATCGCTGTCTCTCTGCAAACAAACAAACATACATACATATAAACTTAACCTTTGCCCGCCATTTTATTTATAATGTATTAAATAATATATTTTCTAATGTACATTTTTAATGACAAAAGATTTTTTTTAATCGGTCAGTGATTTTTGAGTTTTCAAGTACAAATTAAACAAATTACAAGTAAAATAATTTCACACAAACAACAACTTTCAAAGATCTTACTGATATTATAGATGCGAATGTTTGGATGTATGGATGAATAAAAAATTTGTTAGAAGGTATCTCCAAAACAGCTGCATCTGCTTAAATTTGGCACAAATATAGAACCCAGTCTTATAGCAAACATACACTACAAATTATGTTTATTTTTTAATTTTACACGAATGAACTCGCGGGAGACAACTAGTATCATTAAAAAATCAAGTACAACATTTCTAATGTATGAATAAACTGCATTTGGACTAATCACTTAAAAACCGTGTACATATAGGGCAAACTAAGAATATACTTAATCCAGAATATACTAAATGCAGAATACACTAAATCCAGAACATACTAAATGCAGAATATACTAAATCCAGAATATACTAGAATATAGTAAATATACTAACTCCAGCAGCTTGGGTCCGGAGTATTTATCAGAGATGTGTATGTACTGCACATGTTTGTGGTACTGTGAGATGGCGCCGCACAGCCGCGAGTCCAGCACGCCGGCTGTCGCCTCCGCGCACTCGGACAGCACGTTCATACTGACCGGCAACCCGTGCTTCTCACCCGGACGACGCTCCGGACAGAACACGCTCTAAACATAAATAGGAATATTTTTATTTTAGTCTGTCTGTCATTAAGGAAGCTAATGTATACAGGAACATTATAGACTATTTTTGTAATTTACTGACAAAGTCGCGGGCGACCACTAGTAAATGTAAACTACGAGTAGAATTATAGATAAAAACGACAATACCAATATAATATTTAATTTTGCATTTATAATAGTAAAGATGACAAAGGAGCAAACGGCCAGCTGATTTCAATTGGAAGATGGGGATGCACCGAAATTTGATTTTCCCCTTCCTATCCCCTACTCTACTAAATCCATTTCTCATCCCGTCCTTATAAGAACCACATGCTCGTACGGCTCTACCAGTGTAAAACAAAACATACCAAATCCTGCATCTCCTTGGCGAGACGGGTGGCAACCTTCTTCTGTGCGACACACAGTATGAAAGGATCGCAGTCATCCTTGCCGAGCTCAACCCGCACCAGCAGTGTGTCTGGTGAAGGACGGACCAGGTCCATCACCACATGCACTAGATCTTGACGCTTAGAATAAAAATAATTACTTAGAAATCTGAAATATACAGCTAAACTGATTTTTAAGAAATTTTATATGAATATTCAGTAACCTGAAAATCGGCTACTATTCATTTGTTAATCCCGAGCGGACGGAGTCGCGGGCGACACCTAGTGTAATAAAAAATCCACCAATTGCTGTTACCTTGATAAGTTTGAGTGTAAGCAGCATGCCCTCGCAGCAGACTCGTCCACTACACCACATAGTGAAGCAGTGCTCCGCCTCCCGCCGCCAACCGCGCTCGCCTTGCGCGCACACCACGTCCGCATCTGTCTCCCCTGTACACACGCATACTGCACTGCACACTGACCTACAACTTTTTATTACAAAGTGGCCACCTGGATTCTCCGAAATAGCGAATCGACTGCTGACCATTAGCACCTAGTATTGCAAATAAATAAAGAGCGTCGGTGGCTCAGGGGTCAAGCACTTGACTTGCAATCTGCAAGTTCGAATCCCACCATGTACCAATGTGTTTTTCGATTTCCGATTTTCATATGTACAGTTATCCGACGTTCTTACGGTGAAGGAAAACATCGTGATACAACCTGCACATATCTGAGAAGAAATTCAAAGATATGTGTGAAGTCGACCAACCCGCACTTGGCCAGCGTGGTTGACTATGGCCTTATCACCCCCAACTTAGGATAGGCTCCGAGCCCCTCAGTTGGGACATATAGTGAGCTGATGATGAAAGTATCATTTTACAAATACAGAGTTAAATATTTAATAGTTAATTTCTAATGAAACTTTCATAATATTCTAAAATAATATTTATAACTTACCGACTAAAGTAAAATTATCTTCCAACAATGGTTTATGGAGCTTCAAAAAGTTGACAGCAATTGATGTGTTCTTTGCTCTACCAACAACGTAGGCTATCGCGTACGCGACCAGGGCACAGCACAGTATGCCCTCTAACCAATACGCATCCCATCGAGGTCTCACTGATATAGGAACCTAAAAAATATACAAATTACATTACTAAGTAAGTTTTTTTTTAATTCAGCGCATACAGAGTCGTAAGCGAAAGCTAGTTTATTTATAAAAGAATCTATTCATTAATCTATGAAATTTATTTTTCAATGATTATAGAACAATAAGCCAGTAACTTAAACAAATTCGTACATCACTAAATAAAAATCTTTGTAAAATTTGTATTTTAAAAGATCATGTGTTTTGTTTATGTGCAAACCAATAAATTGTATATTACACTCACTTCAGATATTGTGATCTTGGGTTGTTCCGAACTGCGCGGAGTACTGTCTTGGAAACCTTCAAATTCTTCAGGATCTTGGAAATGTTCAAACTCATTGTCTTCGTCCTAGAACACCATGATATATCCTACATCAATAATACCATTTTAATTTGATATTCATTATTTAAAATTAACAAACCTCCACAAGAATATCATCTTCAATATCATTTTGTTGTGAAAATTTATCTATTATTGGAGTTTTCTTTTGTACAGGCGCCTCTTTTTCTTCTTTACTGAAATCTAAGAAAAAGAAAAAGCAATCAGTCAAAGGCAAGACCAGTTTCTACTATCCACATATTTGTCATAGAGACTTTATCTTACTAATATTATAAATGCAAATGTTTAGATGGATGGATGGATGGATGTATGTTTGTTTGAAGATATCTCCAGAACGGATTAACAGATATAGATGAAATTTGACATGCATATAGAACATAGTCTGGAAGAACACACACTACTATGTTTTTTTTATTCTGCACGGACAAAGTCTCAGGCAACAGCCAGTACACACAGGTGTTTTAGTAAACATAGTTTTATATGACACTAGCGGACCCGACAGACGTTGTCCTGTCTACACGTCTTTAATTTGAATAAATTAATATGAAGTTAATATTTGATGAAAATTGTAAATCTAAACCATTCCCAGATCCCCATGAACACACACAAAAAATTTCATCAAAATTGGTCCAGTCCTTTGAGAGAAGTTCAGTGACATACACACTCACAGAAGAATTATATATATAAAGATGACTACAATAACAACAATATAACAGATGCAATAGTATTAGTATTTTGGATGAGGACAGTTCATGGATTAGCTTACCAAAGAACCCCAGCAACCTTTTTATGTTACTGTCCTCTGGGAGCCGAGCAGTGTATTATAAATATAATTGAAATTATTGATACCTGCTACAGTTGCATCATCGTCTGCATCAAACTGTTCAAATTCTGCAAAATCATCATCTTCTAATGTTGTATCTTCAAATGCACTAACATATACACTGCATAGAAGTAGTGCTATTGGTAATAGCACAAGACGCATTGTGCTGCTGCAAATTAATAAATATTAAAGTTACATGCTTGAGCCCCGAGCAGTTGATGGGTCAATAGGCATTTACTAAGTTAGAGAGTACTATATTTTGGCACACCACTTAATCAGGTGGGATCATGACAAACATGGAGGAAGTGACTCACTGGTGTGAGCCAAGAACCACTTTGGGTCACTGTGCTAGCAAAATATTTAAGCTTTTAAGATAAATTTAATTAACTACTAAAGAAAAGGCCTAACTAATGTTTTGATAATGTAGATACAAACATATTTTTAATTAAAATAAACTAATGTTCTGTTAATATAAGTATCAACATATTTAGGTAGTTTATTTACAAAAAATTGATACCTTACTATGATAAAAAATGTTAGTCTTGTGATTCTTTTTTATCTCTCCTTCAAGGTTGATTACAAATAAAGTTCTTAGCACTGTTGAGACAAGATTTAAGTGAAATCTTTACGAAATGAGTTTGCAATAAAAATTAAAACAACCTACAATACAATAAATTTGAATTCAATTTATCTTCTCTCAACTGTTTTCCAAAATGGTTCTTATTTATCTTATTTACTCACTATTATTTAAAACACAAAATAACTATAGTAAAAATGTTATCACGTTGTTATTTACTTATTTTTAGTTTTTTATTTTTTACTTACAAAATAAATTAAAAAGTGCATAAATAAAAGGTGACATTGAACTGAACACAGTGGCATTGGAATCTTAATGTATTTAAAGATACTTAGCGCAAATACGATGTTTTATACCGTATCGAGTTACGAAGTAACAAGATTAAGGTAAGGGTCATTAGCCATGGCCTAGTTTGGCAAGTCATCAAAATATTTTCAAAGTCCAAATTCCAGAGATTTACTAAATATTATTTACAAGTAAATTTATCGTTTTTAAAATATATTTACTTATCATTGTAAAGATGAATACATCAAGTTTAAATTGTACAAACCTTAAATTTATTTATTGACGTAAAATTTTTGGGCACTTTTCAATGAAATTATATGCACATCACAATTTTAAGCCAAAAAATACCTACATTATATTTTTACCTTTACATACCTTTCGTTTCTATTTTAAATATAATATATTATCTTAAATTAATACTGTTTGCACAAAAATGTAACCTATATAAATTAATCTACAATCTTCAATCGTACATTGTACAACATTGACTAGTTTGTTTTCGATGGTAAAATAATTCTTGCTGTCTCCTTTCAAGTGGATGGAGTGAATTACCCAGTAAAAATCACAGTTGAATTACGCTTCGTCCAATGAAAATGAGCTACGCAAGCAGCAGTTATTAAGTCACGTGGAATTTTTTCACGCAGTTGAAAACAAACTCAGAACGCTTGACAGTTAGTAGTTTGGTATTGCCAAGTACTAAAATATGTTTTGTTGCGTTTTTGTTTATGTTTTTAAAATATTTTTATTGTATGTAATTTGTTTATTTATTATACGAAAATAAATGCAACTATTAATTGTTAACCTAACATTGTACAACCTTATAAATTTTAATTTTTGTTCATTAGTGTGGTTGCACGCCATCTGGTGTTGAATAGCTCTAAAGCGCCAATAAAGTTAAAGCTCTCTCTTGAAAAACTTAACAAACAATAATGATTTTTTGCCTTTCATCATAGCTTTGGTCCAAACATTTTTATACTAATATCCATACAGACTGTCGAAAAGTTGCAATAGAAATATTTACACCTTGAAAATCTATTTTTCCCCATAAATTGTCTATTTAAAAGATTTAAATCAATTTTTAGTTAGGTATTCGTAATATTTGTTCGTAGTACATTAATTCTTAAAACGGTCAATGACCGCGATATTCGCTGACAGCATTCCTTATATCAATGAATATTAATCTATTTTTATAATTTATATAAAAAATCAAACTTCCATTTTATATTAATTTACATAATCATAAAATAACTGTTCGTAACTGTGAAAAACTAATAATAAAAGTTAACTTTGCTAGAGCTAGACCATTATTAAAATCCTTAAACGTTTAAATATTCATAATATTATAGCTAACTGTTCTTAAAATACAGCAATAAATGCTGATTGGTAGCTAAAAAAAATCAACTTGATTTGGAATACAATTAAATTAAATAAAATATTGTTTTTAGTTCTCAGTCAACCTTATTATCTTCCTCGGCTTAAACTAATAATGTAAATAAATTAGATTTTTCTTATTATTATATGATTACGTTCATAGCTACAATTAACCTGTACGCTCTATGTGGAATTTCCAGCCAGTAACATTGAAATCGATTCTAAATCCGTGTTGCACCTTTTCTTGTAATTTGGGTTCACTCGTGTTATCTGTATTAAAAAATATTTAAGTTTCCGGAGGTCGAGTATTATTTTTCATCGAGATTACCCATTTGATTTAAAGTTATCCAAGATCGGAAAAAGTCTTATCAAATAGTTATGGTGACAATTTGTTATATTCTAAGAGAGAAATTAATTTAAAAGTGTACACTATGAGTACAATAAATCTCTAGACGTTTAAAGACAGCAAATAAACGCTATGATCACTATTTAAACTTCTAAAGAACATTACATTCAGACTGCAGGACCACAATTAAGTAGTTTAAAAATAACTACACAGCTAGATTTCTGTAGAAATCGTATCTAAGAATTTCGCCAGCAACATGATATATGACATCATGGTAATTCCAGATATAAGTTAAAATGCTTGCAAAATACTTATGTAAATTGTGACCACTATTGTGATGTTCTCTATAAGGATATGTTACGTATATTATAATTTTGTCGTGTACGAAGGGCGGTGCGCGGTAACTCGCGTCATAACCTTCACCTTGACATACATCAAAATGATTTAATATTTACCAGGATGATAATATGACTAATATTATAATTGCGAATGTTAAATCCATTTTAAGATCGATGGATGGATGTCTGTTAGAGATATAGAACATAATCGAAAAGAACACAAGGCTACTAAGTTTTTCTTTAATTCCGCGCGAAAGGGGGCGCAGGCGTAAACTAGTGGAAATATAAGTAATTATTTTGTGGAATGAGTTCGTTTGAATCAAAATGGCATGTCATAAAAGTTACTAGCAATTTGGGAAAGATCAAATGTTGAGATTGTTATTCTTTTCGTCGTCCGCCAAAGTATCAAGGGTTGGCAAAGAACAACTTAATATTTAATAATCCAATCTGTAATAAATTAAACAGACAAACGCCATTAAATTGGATATGAATATAATTATAATAACATTTAAATTAAACAATGATACTATTGCTTATTTATGAGTAAATTTTTAATTATTATGTTTCGTTTCATATGTTAAAGTTCATCAAAATATTATAGGGAAGATACTCAGCAATTGGCCAATCAAAGTGTACTATTGTCATAAAACAGGATATATTTAGAATATATTTCGATAGAATTAAAAGCGGTTTTTTTTTTTTTTTTTTAGAAAGAGGTTCGTTAGATTTGTGATTGTTAAAAAGATAAGCATGACTAGAAATTTACAACACTATTTGCAAAAAACCTGACTTATCTGACACTCAGGAGAAGAATACGAATCCGATAATAAATCACTTAGCTTCATACTAATATTATAAATGCGAATGTTTAGATGGATGGATGTTTGTTTGAAGGTATCTCCAGAACGGCTAAAATATATAAGCTAGGATCTAGCTGAAATTTGTCATATATGTAGAACATAGTCTGGAAGAATACATAGGCTACTAAGTGACTTTTTTAATTCCGCGCGTACAGAGTCGCGGGCGACAGGTAATCAAAGATAATTCAGTAGGATAGGAAAAATCTTTTGGATTGGGTAATAATTTAAAGCCATCAATGCGAAAATAAAGTTTGTGAGGAAAACAAGTGCTTCTGTTGTGAAGTCAAGTAGGAATCGACTCGTCCTTCGTCTGATCGTAAACGAACTGTTAATTCCCGTTGCAAAACCACTTTGCATGCTATATTCTTGGTAACTTGGCACACAGTTCTGTTACTCGTATACAAAACGTAGTTAGTATTCATAGAGCTTAAAGTTTATTTATAAATTCTATTTTCAATTGAATATCTTTTAAAGAAATTTCCTTATTAATAAAAATGTTACGCGATTTCCTCCGAAGGGTAATATTTTTCTTCTTTTTATATAAATGAGTGATCCATTTATGACGAGTGCGGCGACCGCTGACATTTGATTCGTATTTCTTTCTTTGGTGTTATTAAGGTATAATCAGTCGGGTTTATTAGATTTTTAATTAAGAAAACCGGTCAAGATAAGCGAAATTAAGAAGTGAAGGTATAATTATTCGTAAAGAGCCTAAAATAAGTAGTATTATTCGGAACACTATTTATGATCCTTGAAATCCCATGGATCCCATATTTGGAAGAAAATATTCAAGGTCAAGTGGCCCATAACTATTTACGCGATTTACCGTAAAATGGTAACTTTTATCAAAAACAGACTGAGTTGTAGATCATAAAATTACCTTTTAAATATATATGCACACTGCATCACGTATATTTGTATACCATTTTTATTTATATGGAATCTTTTCATAAAAACACTATATTTTGAATGTCAAAGAAATATCAGCGTGTGTTCATAATTTATTCACAACGACGGCAAAGAAACATTCAAGAGAAAATGATATCATAGTCTTAAAAGTGGTCGAAAGATCCTGTTCATAATATTATTAATTATTTCATATATATTTTTAATAATACTTTTTATTAATAAAATACAAATAAGTCAACAAATCTAACTACACAAAAACTGTAAAAAAGATAACATGAGATTAGGTACATTATTTATTATGGTTTGTCTAAATATTTTTGCTCTTTATAGATCAGGGGTCGCCAACCTTTCGCGTGTAATACAGATGTTCGAAATTATGGACTAGTTCCAGAGCTGTGACGTCATCCAATTAATATTATAGGTTACATTTCAAAATAAACACAATAAAATTGAATTTCGATAATTTTAAAGATGGTGAATCAGCCACTGTTGTCCATAAAAGCGATGTTAAGGCCATGTTCAATGCCAGTCGACATTTGTTGCCCGCGCTTTAAACACGCTTTGTATAAATTCTATATTTATTTATAAGTTTTTTTTAATCCGCCGCAATGGCATCCGCCTTCCTTAAGTTCAGTGCCATAATATTGTTTCTCAGTTTTAATGCTGGTATGTAATTTTTTCTTCTTTTTTTAATTACAGCAAAATAGAAAAAAATGTTTTTTTTTACTAATTTAATTTTATTAAATAGCTGTTTTGTTTAAGCTATCATAAACGTATTAAAAATATCAAAATTATAAACATTATTTTCAAGTCGTAATTTAATTTGATGTAATATTTTCTAGAAACAAAAAAATCCTGCTAAATATTTTCGACAATTATTTGCTCATTTTTAAAAAGTATTCATAACAGTTTAGCTTGTTTATTAATGATCTCGCTAGCTGATTTACAACGATAACACGCCCTATTTAAAAGATGTCAAGGTATTATAAACAAAGGTCCAAGAAGATCATATATTATCAAAACATAATTATAATAAAATCAAGGTCTACTCACGTAAACGTCTGAGCAGAAAATAACCAAGTCAATCAAAGAAGCTTCCGTGTTACATTATTCCAAACTAATTTGCATAATTCTTATGTACTTATACGTTTCTTAAATATTGCATTGTAATGTAAAAAAGGCAAAGGCAATCAATAATGGCAGCCATTAAATATTTATCAATTATATCCTATTGTTAGAAGATATCGATCTTTGATTACGATTACTAAGAATCATCTTAATGTAATCAATGTATGCAGACATGTCTTACTGTGAGTTTCTACTGTCGTGACACTAACATTGTAACATATTATCTCAATCTTATTGATAGAAACGTAGACAAGAATATGTTTAATACATTTCTTCATTCATTCATTCATCATCAGCTCAATACGTCCCCCCCGAGGGGATCGGAGCTTACCCTAAGTTAAGGGTGATTGGGCCATAGTCAACCACCCTGGACAAGTGCGGGTTGGTTGAGTTTACACATAACATTGAATTTCTTCTCAGATATGTGCAGGTTGCGTCACAATGTTTTCCTTCACCGTAAGAAATTCGGATAAATGTAAATCGAAATTCTAAAAACACATTGGCACATGATAGGATTCGAATCCA